TTTGTTTCCCATCCGTCTCCCACTCTGCTCTGGGACCCACATTTGTCTCCCCCACTGTCTGCTGCTCTGGGATCCTTGGGCCGCATGCTTGTCTCCCATTTGTTTCTCCGTCTCCCATCTGTCTCCCACTTGTTTCCCACCTGCTCTGGGATCCTTGGGCCGCATGCGTTCATCTCCCATTTGTCTCCCATCTGTCTCCCACCTGCTCTGGGATCCTTGGGCCGCATGCGTTCATACTTGTCTCCCATTTGTCTCCCATCTGTCTCCTACTTGTTTCCCACCTGCTCTGGATCCTTGGGCCGCATGCTTTCATACTTGTCTCCCATTTGTCTCCCATCTGTCTCCCACTTGTTTCCCACCTGCTCTGGATCCTTGGGCCGCATGCGTTCATACTTGTCTTCCATTGTCTCCCCATCTGTCTCCCACTTGTTTCCCACCTGCTCTGGGATCCTTTGGCCGCATGCGTTCATACTTGTCTCCCATTTGTCTCCCATCTGTCTCCCACTTGTTTCCCACCATCTCTGGGATCCTTGGGCCCTTCAATCGTCGCCTTCGATTCTTTCCTCCTCGTTTCTGCTCCTTGTCCTTCTGCAGTGCCTCGTTCAGCTGATTCAAACGCTCAGGCGTGATCACTTCTTCAGAGGCACGAGGAGTACGTTCACGGTGCATTCAAGACCGAAATTATATTGCGAATTCTACTATGCAGTGGGCGAATCGCGGGTCAATTCAAGCCAACTGCAGAACACGCACACCTTTGATGTTGGTATTATTGACGAGTGAGGTCTTTGACAATGATCCAATGCAAGTGGAACACGGACGAAGTCGGGCACCACTTATTTCACAAAGGTCAACTCACTTAATTTGGAAATGGGCCTAGGATTCACACTGAAGGCACACGGCAATCTATGGATTATCAACTAGGTCCTACGGGTTATGGAGATTAGTTATACGAATCGGAGGATGCACCCTGGACAGCGCAAACACTCCGGTACCCTACAGTCCTTGAATGTAGTGATGCTGTTGCTGCACGCAATCAAACACCTGAAGGCAAGAGGTCAGCGTAACTCAATGCTGACAGTTACCTACGGATGATGTTTGGTTGAAATATGGATAGGCGATGCAACGACACGAAGGCTGGCTCGACCTACGGTGAAGTGCAGTAACCTAGAATATGAAAACGTGAGGCTGTTAACCAGTTAAACACGAAGTCCAAACCTCAAAACCTCGTGTTTAATGAATCGGCTGCAGACGGCAGCACCTGTTTTGACAACAGCTTGAGCCAAAGGTCAAGGTGCCACGCAGGCAAAATGAGTTCTTCAACATTTGGTAAGACAAACATGGAATGAATGAGTTACACTACATCTGTACACACTCTCGGGGTCATATTCGCTGTTATTTGATTTCTTACATTGATCACTTTTAGAAGGTCAATGTAACTTTGGATTACTTTGAGTTTCCAAGAGAAAGTGTGATGTCTTGCGCACTCTACTCTTTCAGTATGAGCTTCAACTTTATGGCTCATCAGTTCAACTCGCTTGTGGCACGTTCCAATGGCAACTTTGTCAGAATGGGACATTTGATTGTACACAAGAACTTGAGGGATCAACTTTCTGATAATGAACACGCAATCCCTTGAGAACTTTTGGTTCCACTTTTCAGATCCATGCTGTACATTTGAATTCAGAATTCACTTGAGTGTCACTTGAAACTTTGGGCGTCGACTTTTTCTGTCGTTTTCTTTTTGCTTCAAGCTTTTGTTTCTGCTTTTTGTTCAAGTGATCCTTGAACTACGTTCATGGGACAGACTCACTTTGGCACTCTCACTTTTATTTAAGGCAAACGATGCAAAGGAGTTTTAAAGTGCTTTCGGCGCCAACCACTTTGTACTAGAGACATCCCAACTTTTGGTTTCGAAGTCAACTTTGGTAGGATAATTGAAAAGATGCTGATTGAACTTTTCTGATCCTGGAATTTTGAACCAGTAGTTTGACTTTTTCAGTACTTTGCATGGTTATTCAACTTTGAAACATGCAAGGTTAATTAGTGTGACTTTAAAGTCACAGGGCTTTAAGTCAAGGGGGCGTGCGAAATATCATGCACTTTTGTCCCCTCTTGCATGTTTACTTTTATCATTACTTTGCCAAATACTTTGGCTCAAGGCTCATGTTCCTGGAGAAAAGGAGACTTTGCTGAGTCTTACTTAGGTTGGACTTAGTAGTTGGTTGGAAGTACTTAGAGTACTTTGGGTTTTCGCAAGCTCCCAACACGCGGCAAACAACACACCTAACGCCCTGCCTTAGCCACAACTCTCACCGGGCACTTGCACTCAGAGGTCTGCACTTTGAACAGGAACCTGAGATCTGCACTGCCGCCGCCTGCGCAGAGTAAGTCAACATGGACTGGCAGCTTGCCCCTCTTTTCACTCAAACTCTGATGCTCCCTAGGCTGTGTCAACGATGTGTCATCAAAACTGAGGTCCAGTGCCGAGATCTGCATTTTCTCGCTCAAACTCTAATGCTCTCTAGGATGTCTCAACTTTCTGTCATCAAAATCCTGGCCCTGCGCTGTTGGCAGGCTGCACGTCCGCCCTGTGGTGGAATGAGCTTCTTAAGGCTTCCTGTCGATTTCAATTGCATCAGAAGATTCCCAACCACCGCAGTTGGCTGGCCGGAATTCTGTGGAAGCCCTTCCATGCAACCTTTTTTCATCAAAACATTCCTCGGCGTTTGGGCTTCGTGTTGGCTTCAAGCGCATCGGTCTTCTGCTTGAGCAGAGCGTGCACGGATGGCGACGCTGCACAAAACCGCTCATCCGCCTTAGTGGTGGCCTTGACATAGATGCAGTGGGCACCTCGTGCCTTCACCGCCTGTGCCAGATCCTTGCTGGTGAAACGGTCAGCGAAGTCCACGGACCTTACGCACTGCTCAAAGGGGGCGTCCGCCACGCGGCGGGCCACCTCCTTGGCAGCCAGGACCTTTTCTGGGCCGAAGCCGCCCTGCGCATCGATGCCGAAGAAGCGCAGGATCTCCTCCTCCTGACTGCGCAAAACAAAAAGGCGCAAAACAAAAAGGCTCAAGTCAACCCCGTCCTGCGCGCTGATGGTTTCGAGCCGGACCTCCTCGAAGGTCTTGGTCCGCAAGGCCTGCGCCAGGTCCTGCGGGGCTGGAAAGGCTTCGCAACACACCGAGCCTTTGCAAAGACAAGGCTGGAAAGACAAGACAATGCACCGGCCTCCAACTTGCCCACGTTGCCGCCGGAGAGGTGGAGGAGTTCCGACTTGTGCTCGACGGCGACGGCTCCACCGTGGTGCTTGAGGAACGTCTGGACCTGGTCAGGGAGAGCCAAACAAAAACTCAAAGGAACGCTCTCAGCAAACCCGCCTCCTCCTGCTGGCACTCTTCCTCGCTCAGCGGTTGGATCTGGAACCGAACTTCCCGGGCGTCCGCATCAAAGCTCAGGGCCATGGAGGCGCTGCTCGCCAACACGATGACTTTCGCCAATTCGGCGTCGTAGCCCCATGTCTTGGCGAAGCCAGAACAACTGCGTACAACTGCCATGTCGCTGACCTCCCGGGGGATCTCCAGGACAATGATGGGCCGTCGGCTCAGCGTCTTTGCGGCCTGCTTCAAGGCCTCCTTTGCCCCAACGTCGCCGAGGGCACCCAGCTCCTGGCAAAGCTTTTCTCGTGCGACCTGCTTGTCGTCGGCGAGCTGCACGTGGACGATGCCCTCGTGAAAGCCTGCCTGTTCGAAAGCCTTGAAGAGGGCAAAGCTCTTGCCGGCCAGGTGGTTGCCCCAGATCAGCACGGGGGAGCGGTCATCCAGATCCAGCAGGCGCTTCATGGTGACCTAGCACAACAGGGTGAAAGACAAAGCGACACGGATGCTGACGACTTGTGCATGACACCGGGCCTGGACCTGCTCGCGCGGGATTTCCACTTTGGGCTGGAAAGCGTGGAAGGAACTGTGGATCACGCGATTAACCATACGAGCGCGATCTTGTTCTTCTCGTCGGCGCTTCCAAGCGTCTAGCACAAAGCCACCGATAGCAGCACCTGCGCCTAGAGCTGGTACGCTACCGGGCACGCGGCTGAACATGGCTCCGATACGCTGTTTCATCGCTGCTACAAGCCCAACATGACTTGGACACTCAGATTTCTGCGAAAAGAAAACATGCAAAGAGCTGCTTGCCACTGCTTGCGAAGCACTCTCTGCCGGCCGGTGCCTCTTCCAGGAACTGCGAGAGCTCCGCACAAGGCCTCGAAAAGTACGTACACTTGTAAATACACCGACTGCCGCGAAGTCAAGCCTACCCTGGCAAGCTACACTCCACCAACACCACTGCCACAGTCCCCACAGGCCTGCCGAAGGGGCGTTCGCAGAGCTCCACATGAAATGGCTGCGGAAGAAGCAAAAGCAAGCAACCATCACATGCAAAAATCCAGAAAATGCCCATGGTAAATCTTAGCCTTACCTGTTTTTATCACAGTTTCAATATGTTTCAATAGTTTTTTGTTAAAATTTGTTAATGCATCATATATGGTTTTAAGTTGCAGTCTACGTACACCTTTTGCACATGTATGTGCAATCAGGAGAAACTGTGTACACTACACATTCAATATATATTGTGTTCCATTCCATGTGCAGCATGCGATGTGCGAGACATGTTTGCTGGTACCTGGTTGACTCCAGAGATCCGCTTGAGCAAAGGTGTCTTGAATGCAGGGCATGAGAAGGCCTACAAAAGAAATAAGCTTGACTCAATCAACTGTAAAACTGATACAAATGTAGTCAAAAACATGGCTTGACGAATTAAGCGCCCCACTATCTCAGCCGACGCGTTACTTGTCAGCCTTTGGCGGTTGAAAGGACACGCCCGCACAACAGAACCCTTTCAGGTCTGTAAAGCCACTGCAAAAGCACAGCTTCGCTCAGCCAAGAGTGCCCTTTGGGCACATTGCATTTGCAACGGTTGACTTCTACAACCGCCTTCAGAGTTCACTAGCTCGCCTTCAGCCTTTCCTGGCCCGGGAATGGCTCGCATTGATGTGTTGTTTCCAGCATGAATCAACATGGGAAGAAAATGCACAAGCAATCTCCTTCAATTTTTCCACAACCTTCTTCCGCCGTCCTTGCCGCGCAAGTTGCAAGCCTGAGTCTGCATCGAATCCAACACCGCATTTCTGAAGTCATCTGTTCCGTACACTTCGTCGCTATTTCCTTCGCACGCGGGACGCTCTTGACAATTTGCGCCTGTCATCTCCAAGGGCAGCTATGGTGATGTCCAAAGGCTTGTCAACACTCAATCCCAAACAAGTCTCTGCGACCTGATAACCACGCCGCTTGACTTTGAAGCGCTTCTTCTCATCCACAATTCTTGCCTGCGGTGGAGAAGTTTAACAAGCGCATCCTTCATTTGCAAGCAGACACTTGCAAGACTGAAAACCATGTGAGCATGTTGCAATCAGTTTGGAGGGTACGTTTTCTTTTGAAACCTACATGTAGACAACAGCTCTTACAGGAATCGGCACAAGCACAATTCCTCCCCGAAAGAGCTCAAGCTGAGTACGTAATGCAAATGCAGCACAGGCCAGGCCATCTTTTCCCAGCTGCGGCTAAAACGCGTGAAAGGCTATGCCCCGCACCACTGCTTTGGCTGTCCCTTTTGTCTTCTTTGTAACCTTGCAGCCTGCTTCTGCTGAAGCCTCCTCCACTTCATGGCGCACTCGATATGTGCCAATCCATGTGAATTGGGTTCAAAAGCGTATTACTGAAGACCCAGCGCCTGTCTGAATATCTGAGGTGACACAGGTAGAGGAGGCGCTTCAAGGACATGTGCTTCCTCCGCGACAAGACATAGCTTGGGATGTGCATGCTAATCAAAGACAGCATTGCAGGTGTAGGCAGAAATCATCTTTCTCGCATGACTTGCGGATTTTTTGGATAGCGTGCTGCTTGTTTCATTCTTGGATGTGTGAAGCGTGCGGCACTGGCCCGCCTGATCCTGCTCCTCAAACTCTTGTTGGTTTTTCCTACCATCTACTTGGAGGAATGCACGCAAGGCGCAATTATTGCACTTTGTGGGGGTAAGAACAACAAAGACTCCGCACACAACTGAACTGCAAGACATCAGTCAGATAGGGAGGTGTGGCTTTGGCAAACAATTAGGCGACAGAACTTATTCTCGGTGTCATTGCATCTTATGTCTTGCTCGTTGGCAGTGACAGCAAGTTAGCCTGTTTCACTTTTCCGTGCCCATCCCCCACTCTCGCTCGCTCAGGAGGGTTCTTCGCACAACACTTGTGGGTCAGATTAGTTTTGGCGTACCTTCTTTGAGCGCGCGCCTTGCTTGCTTGGCAGCGGCTGCTCGGGCCTTTGCAACACTGCATTGGTTTCACAAATGCTGTCAATACGCCCACACAAGCCAAATCAAAACATTTTAGGTTCCGTGCTTTGAGGCGCAAGACCAAAAGCACGCAAGAGATCATGGCCAGACTAGTTCGCCCGTGCTAAAACAGACAAAAAGGTTTCAATGAATGGCATGTCAAACAGGCTTCAAACTAAATGATGTGTCGATGTGGTCTTGTCTAGTCTTGTCTGGATTCATCTGCCAATCTTGACAGCTGCCTTGCCGGACAACTTCTGCATAAACTCCGAGCTGATTTGTGCTGGGACCCTGCAAAATGCAGATGACACACTTGCATCAGCCCAGAGTACGACGCCCGCTCCTTTTGTAAAGCGTCCTACACAAAACTCGTGGTCAAGTATTTTTTGCGATAAACAAAACAGGCCAAAGAAACCAAGCAAGTCAGGATGGACAACAAGCCTACTCACCACTCTGCTTTTCATTGGCATAGAGCTGAGGTGCAAAGCGTGAGAACGAAAATAGACAGCCAAGGCCATGTGCATTTGAAAGTTGCTGGGTGTGTGCAAGTTCCTTGCATTGCACCCGCCAGACCGTGACAAGACTGCTTAGCAGCTTGCAACTGTCTTGCTGTCACTCCCAAAGGCCAAAACACAAGTGAAGAAAGTTGCGAAAGGAAAAGCCCTGTTGGTTGAATCTAACAACAGCCATCTGTTTTTTTGAAATGCCCCCAGTTTCTTCGAGCATGTGAACCACAAAAGACCTTGGTGTATCGCGTGGCTGGATTGGTCAAAGCCTCCGCATATACCTTTTTCTCAGGCACGTGCACAGAGCTTAAAGCAACAAATGATGTGACTGGCACTAGAAGATTCAATCCTGAATTGTTGGTGTAAGATCTTCTTTTGCATTGAATTCGGCTCACAGCTTTGCGCTCACCACCCTTGTCTTATTCACAGAAGCTTTGCGGTCAGCGGCAGGAGCCTGTGATGACGTCATGCGCTGACATGTTGCTGCGCGAAGAAAGAGAAACCAACAGCTCAAAATGGCATCTGAGCACTGAGCACTAAATCCATGACGGACGATGCTGCGCACAGCATTCAGAACCTACACTGCTGAACCCTTTCAGAACACAGCATTGAGGGTGTCACAAGAAACGGCAACTACCTGGAAGTATTCTTTGGCGACTCGTCTCTAGCTCGTCCGTGCTCTTCTGCCTTCCACAATATCCAAACAAGGATGATTTTTGAAAATTGGAACTTTCTTGGATGAACGAGCTGCTCTAGAAACACGGTGGGCTCTTTTTAGAAAGGAACCTCTCATGTTAACATCCCAGCATCTTTCAAGTGAAACTCTGCCTGCAGGAGATGCTCTTCCTGGCTGATATTGATCGGAAGCACCTGTTTTCAGCGTTCGGTTTCAGTTCCACAAGCGATGGCAAAACTGTTTGCGCCATGTCAAAGGATTGAACTGGACCAACACACAGCAGCAGCCCATTTGGACACATCCTGAAACTTCAAGAGATTTTTTGAGACCTGTCAACCTAACCTGGATTTCGATGGTGGTAGCGGGCATCTGGGCTGGACACCTGGCTGCTCAACTCATTTCTAACAATGAGGTGCCACAAACAGACGCCAACACACTTGCAATCAATGCAACACAGATCAAAAGATCTGGGCCTGCTGCGAACTCTTCCCCAGGAGTATGGCCATGCTCTGCTCCACTTGGTCCAGTCGCTGCCGAAGATACCCTCACAACTGGGCAGGTGTTGCAGCACCTGCAGGCCAAGCTTTTTCAAAAAAATATGTTTGTTTCTTGTTAAGGTTCAACACTCGAAAGGAAATATCAGTGTGTTTCAAAGCTGTCTCGAAGTCTTGAACCCTCACCAGTTCATACCAGTTCATTCACACTGTGCTTCCAGGTGACTGTTGCCAAATCGCGGCAAGTATTGTTACAGCCTCTACATCAGAGCGAAAAGATGCGTCCAACCCACGTAGCTCACACGTGAATGCACACAGCAAGAACCCATTCCGCAGCTGGAAACAAAGACATACCAAACTGGAAGTTACGTATTATAACATGAAAGTAAACGTAGAAGTACTCCTTGCCTTCTGCACAAATCGTGGACTCCCCATCCTTGGCAAGGAGCTCTGAGTCACAAAAATGCTGTGAACCAAGGTTCCCACCTGCACGACAGTCATGTTGCTGTCAGAGGCAGACCTCAGCTCACTTACCAAAGTATCCAAATTCCCGTTTTAATGCAAGGAATCGAACAGCTGAAATCCCAAGTCCTCTCAGCTGGCCTCCGGGACGCTGCGCCTTCGCTCCAAGCGCCTGCAGAAAGCTAAATCACCAGCGGAGAGACTCAGTTATGCTTTGTTTTTTTGCAGAGCCAGGAGAGTAAATCATGTAACTCATTTGCAAAAGGCTTCAGATGTAGCATTGACAACTACAAAGTTACAGTCCAAAAAGGCGAATGCGCCTGTGCTGTAGCCTCTCTCTGCACTCGCTCCAAGAACAATGCGCTGCAGTGGATTGTGGCGAGGAAGATGATGTTCTGAGACAGAAAGAAGCAACACGCGCTGAATGCAGTCGGACCCCTCCCCCAAACAATGTAGCCAAAAACGAGAACTAAAATGCAAATTAAAATGAAAACTGTGACAAAACATAAGGGTCATCAACTAGCCAACAGCCTCGTTTTGGGATTCCAATTTGTTCACAATGGTTCCATCAAGTTAGGCTTACCTAGATTATGGTTCATAGCCAGGTATTTACACTGTTCATTGATGCTCGGACATCATCACTTGCGTTTGCTTCTCAAGCAAATAACCTTCGAATCTTCCAGGTTGAGAGAGTCCATGCTTGTTGCCGTCCTTGCAACCGTCCTATAAACATCTCTTGATGGAACCGTGTGAAATCTCTTGAAAAGTGCATCTTGTCATTCACCCACCAGCGTTCGGCATGCCTTGGTCTCGGATGTATCCCGCAGCAAGTCCGAGAAGAATCACCTTTACTGAACCAAGAAACTATAGGTGCTTCACACAGGATGAAGCAAAGATCACTAAGCCACACACAACCATCCATAAGGCAAGAGAGCCGTGGTAGTCCTCGGCTAACAGCAGCTCAGCTCAAACTGCAGTGATTTCATGCTGGCTTAAAGATGTTAAGATAGGCCGGTTAATGGAAAACCCAGATATGCCCTTCAAAAGCAGGCTTGAAAGATCTTATCAGCAAAGAAGTAAGCACCTGTAGCTGACATGAGGGCGAAGTCTCTGGAACCTTTTGCACAAGTTGACCAGTTCAATGCCACTTTGTCCAGTGATTCTGCGCATGCCCTTCTCTGGTAACAACAGATCTGGCCTCAACTGTGACGTCTTCCACCTAAAACAAGGGAGCTGAAGCAAGGAAAGAAAGCAGAGCAAATGGAAGCTGTAAATGCATCTACTCGTGTTGCCTAGTCCCAGCACCTCTTGGATTGCTTCATCTTTTGCAAGTCGTTCCACCTTGAACTCTTGATTTCTTTGGATATCCATGTTGCTTTGAACTGATGACAACTTTGCACGTGACTTCAGACAAATGCAAGAAAACGCTGAACCATCTTACTTGCTAAGCACCCGTACCTGCTGACATGAGGGCGAAGTCTCTGGAACCTTTTGCACAAGTTGACCAGTTCAATGCCACTTTGTCCAGTGACAACAGATCTGGCCTCAACTGTGACGTCTTCCACCTAAAACAAGGGAGCTGAAGCAAGGAAAGAAAGCAGAGCAAATGGAAGCTGTAAATGCATCTACTCGTGTTGCCTAGTCCCAGCACCTCTTGGATTGCTTCATCTTTTGCAAGTCGTTCCACCTTGAACTCTTGATTTCTTTGGATATCCATGTTGCTTTGAACTGATCAGACAACTGCAAGAAAACGCTGCCGCAATCTTACTTGCTAAGCACCCGCACCTGCTGACATGAGGGCGAAGTCTCTGGAACCTTTTGCAACGCCACTTTGTCCAGTGATTCTGCGCATGCCCTTCTCTGGTAACAACAGATCTGGCCTCAACTGTGACGTCTTCCACCTAAAACAAGGGAGCTGAAGCAAGGAAAGAAAGCAGAGCAAATGGAAGCTGTAAATGCATCCACTCGTGTTGCCTAGTCCCAGCACCTCTTGGATTGCTTCATCTTTCGCAAGTCGTTCCACCTTGAACTCTTGATTTCTTTGGATCTCCATGTTGCTTTGAAATGATGACAACTTTGCACGTAACTTCAGACAACTGCAAGAAAACGCTGCCACAATCTTACTTGCTAAGCACCCGTACCTGCTGACATGAGGGCGAAGTCTCTGGAACCTTTTGCGCAAGTTGACCAGTTCAATGCCACTTTGTCCAGTGATTCTGCGCATGCCCTTCTCTGGTAACAACAGATCCGGCCTCAACTGCGACGTCTTCCACCTAAAACAAGGGATCTGAAGCAAGGAAAGAAAGCAGAGCAAATGGAAGCTGTAAATGCATCCACTCGTGTTGCCTAGTCCCAGCACCTCTTGGATTGCTTCATCTTTCGCAAGTCGTTCCACCTTGAAGTCTTGATTTCTTTGGATCTCCATGTTGCTTTGAACTGATGGCAACTTTGCACGTGACTTCAGACAACTGCAAGAAAACGCTGCCACAATCTTACTTGCTAAGCACCCGTACCTGCTGACATGAGGGCGAAGTCTCTGGAACCTTTTTTGGGCAAGTTGACCAGTTCAATGCCACTTTGTCCAGTGATTCTGCGCATGCCCTTCTCTGGTAACAACAGATCTGGCCTCGACTGCGACGTCTTCCACCTAAAACAAGGGAGCTGAAGCAAGGAAAGAAAGCAGAGCAAATGGAAGCGGTAAATGCATCCACTCATGTTGGCTAGTCCCAGCACCTCTTGGATTGCTTCATCTTTTGCAAGTCGTTCCACCTTGAACTCTTGATTTCTTTGGATCTCCATGTTGCTTTGACCTGATGACAACTTTGCACGTGACTTCAGACAACTGCAAGA